AATTCCTCTGAAGATCATTGTGAAATAGTATACTTTATCACTTTTTGTGTATGGTTTTAAAAAATTCTTGAGCCATCTATTACTGCCATAAAATATTTCAAGGCTTTAGTCTCCCAATTGGTCTTCATAGGGATGAAAACCAATTTAAACATTAGCTCAAGGAAAACAAAACTCACATGTTCAAATAATGTTAATTTTTTGTCCTTCCAAAGACAAGAATTTATTAATTTTGAGTTATTTGAACTATCTTGGCCTCTGACTTCTTCTGGACAGTAGACAATTTAAAATCCAGTATGCATATTACACTAAAGCAACTATCACTGAAAGTTTTGTTTGAATTTAACCAAAATCAGGGAGAGAAAAATTCATACCAGGTTTCACTCAACACATTTATAGATACCTATCTTGCCAAGCACTGTAGTATGTGCTTTTATACATTTTCACCTATACACTTCCTTATTTAATCCTCCCAACAACTGTGCCATTTTGGCAAAAGAAAGTTTGCTTAGGGGAGTAAAAATTTGTCAAATTCTTACTGTTAGCAAAAGGTAGAGCCCTCTGGGAATCTGTAATCTAGCTGAATATACAGGAAGCTCAATAAAAACACCTTAAGGTAAATGCCATCATAGACATCCATGAGCTCCCAGAGGAAGGCCTGGGAATGGCTTTCAAAACTGAATAGAACTTTGACAGGTAAATATTGGACTATGAGAAGGGGAGGAGGTGGAAGAAATTAAAAGTAGAAGAGAAAAGTTTCGCATAGGCACCACAACCAGAAAACCCCTTGTGCCGTCATGCAACGTTAAGTTGCTATCATTGGTGGGATAGGGTGGTGCCAGATGTCAGCATGTGACAGACATGAAGGCAAGATGACATATCACTGTAGCAGGCAACAGGGAACCAGTAAAGGATCTTGACCAGAATGCCTGGATCGGGAGACTGTATGGTAGTCTGGGTAGAGGGAGGAGAGACTAGAGGCAGGGAGGTTGGCGGAGGCTGTCTTGGACCTGAAGAGGACCTGCTCTGGGACTCTGCCAGAGGAAAGGGAGAATTTCATGCAAAATATTCTCTCATAAACTCTCTTCTGTTCTTACTTATTGAAAAACAAGGTAAAATTCCCTAACTGATTTGAAAGAGTTTTTTGTTTGTAGTTTGTTTTTTGTCTAGCAAGTAGAAAGGAGTTTTTTTGCTTTCCTTTTTACCCAAATTCTGGGTAATAAGAAATAGAAGTGGAATGCTAGTGATTACTAGGAAACTGCAAAAGGATAGAAACATTAGAATTTGATTGGATGGAGAGACTTAATGATGACGCCCAAAGTTTAAAACTGAATGACTAGGAAAATGATGGTCTCCCTGTGGGAAATAAGCCAATGATATGGGAAGAAAGACAGTATGCTTATTTTAAATAGGTTCAGTTGGAAGCTACAATAGGATTTTCATGCAGAAATATACAGAAGCTGTTGAAAGACCAGAGCTGGTGTTCCTAAAAAAGTAGGAGCTGGAGAGAATATAATCAGTGACTATTGTCTGCATGGAGAAAAAGTCATGAGTGGTGAGTGTCTGTGCTGAGGGATAACGTGGAAAATGAAAAAGATGGCCTAGGAAATAGAGCAGGAGACAGGGACCCATCAAGAGAGGGAGACGGAGAGGAAGGGGGAGGGGAGGGCGAAGCTAGTGAAGTAGAACATGCAGAATTGCAGAGTAAAGGGAACAGAGGTGAAGTTGTAAAGGCAGCAGACTTGAGTAAAATGAGGATGTAGCAGCAAGAGCTGTGTTTAGTGATAAAGGGTCACCTCCTCTGGGCAGAATTTTGGCCCTTTCCCTCCCACTACTCCAGGCCATCCAAAACTTTTTTTATTCTTAAATTGCTTGGGCGGAGCACAGATGATGTTAAGGACAGGTTAGCCACCAGTGTTTGCCTGAGTATCAATTTCCCCTTTAGATCAAATGCTACCAAAAAGCAAGGACTGTGTGGGGTCACCTACACAGTGAGTACAGGATGGATGGGGACTCGGGGAAGAAATTAAGTCAGCTCTCCAAGAGAGCAGTTTCAGGAGAGTGTTGGGAAGGAAAATCAAACTGTAAGGTGTTATGGAACAAGAAGGCGGTAAGAAGTGAAAGAAGTATCTGATTAATCTGATTGTGAGCGAGGGCAGGCAGGGAATTATGAGAAAAGGGAGAAAATTGTATCAAGAGAGAAGCAGAAAGAATAAAAGGTTTAATTCTAGGGTAGGAAAGATTTGAATATGTTGCTAAACTGTGGTCAAAGCCAGTGAAAAGGGGATGATGATGCAGAAAGAAGCAGTGGGTAATAACTGAGGGAGTAACTTTGAGAAGAGACTGGTAAATGCAGGCGAGGGGTGAACCTCTGACAGAGGGCAGGGGGTGGGTGAAGGTGCAGAGAAATGTAAAGGTGAGACGTTGCTATTAGATGAGAAGTTAGAATGGACTATGCGGGAGAAACCTATGGCCTAATTGGGAGGAGAGGGGTAACCAAACACCGACCTTTAAGTTCTAATACCGTCACTTATCAGTCCTCTGACCTTTTCTCAAAACCTCAACTTTCCTTTAGGTAAAATGGGGAGACTATCTTCCAACTCCAAAATTCGGGTGTTATTGTCCCACATACTTGCAAGTGGCTTTATTGGCTATTTGTTTTTTTAAAAAATGGGGAGACGTTTCCCTGAGAGGGCAGAGAAGCTGGAAGATGCTCTGAATCTTGTCAGCAAAAGCAGGAGACGGGTCACCGGAGCGTGAAGAAGACAGTGACGCCATAGGCCTGAGCAATCGATCAGGAGGTTTTCTGAGTTCTGGGCATAGGATAAGGAGATGAACACAACGTGAATACCTAAAAGTATTTGCAAATATCAGCGAGGATGCAAGGGAGATTTGAGGGCAAGAATGCCTGATCCGGGAGGAATCAGGCCCATTAGTTGCAAAGGTGTTAGGGGAGGTGTGGCCACAAGCGCCC